GGGGGGAGTCTCAGCCCCTTACTTCAGGACTGGCCACCCCATCCATTCATCCTCTTTGCCTGCCCCCAGCCATGAAGCCTTTACCAACTAGCCAGGTGCTGGCAGCCCTCCTGCTGGCGGCCACCTGCCAAGGGAAGGTGCATGACGGACCAGGCAGTGCCCGGCTGGACCCCCAGGCCATCCCAGGTCCCGCTCCCCGCAGAAACAAGGCCCAGAGGTTTCCCGTTGGCCTGGTGGTGGTGGGGGGGGCCCCTGGGGAGTCGTGGGGAGGGGAGTCAGAGAAAGCCACCCTTCCTGTGGTGCCTGCTGATAATTGGCTCTCCGGAGCCAGCCAGGACCACAGGGGCCAGCCGGGTCAGGAAGTGGTGTACAATGCTACCCTTTCAGGGGAGACACTGTATGGTCCCTGGTCCCGAGTGACTCTGAGAAATCTGGAGAACAGCCTGTTGTGAGGGACACCCTCTAATCTAGACACACACACACACACACCCCACCCCCATGAGGCAAGCAAAAGAGCCCGGGACTTGCCACTCTCTACCCTGGGAGGGGCCCCCGGGCCCTGACCTGCAGCTGGGTCAGCACCAATTCAGAACCCAGTGACTTCCTGTCTGGGGAAAGGAGAAAAGGGGACTGGACCTTCGCACGGGACCACGTGTCGTGTCACGTGTATGGTGCTCTGGAGGACTGAGTCCTGGGAGCAGTCGGTCCTGAATAATTCAGTCGTTTATTGAGCCTCTGGGCCCCTCCGGGGAGGGAGGAGAAGGCAGGGTCGCTGCCCTCTTGGTGGGGAGCCAAGGTCATCCTAAGCATCAAGTCCTGTTAGGAGGGGCAGGAATTCAAGGAAACCTTGCATCCTGTTAGGGCTTGAAGGAACTGGAGAAGGAGGTGGAGGAGGAGGAGGCAGGATTGGGAGGAGAGGTTGCAGGTTGGCTTCCACCCGGAGTCACCTCAGAGGGAAGATGTGGCCATCCATGTTCCCAAAAAACTAGCCACTGTGTCAGTCTACGTAGACTAGAAAAACAAAATGAAGAGATGCTTATATTGTAGAAGAGAGAGTTGTATATAAAGGTTAAGTGTACATTAAGAAAGCATCCCAACCCATTCCAGTCCCAGCCCATAAGTCCAACATTAGTTCAACAATTAGCCCCTACATCCGACACCGATCTACAAAGTCCTCCTCAATCTCGCAAAACACATGCAATGATGCCGACTGCAGGAGGAAAGCCAAATCAGTGAGCGTGTAAGCATCTCAGCGCTGGCAGGGGTCTCCACACGGCTGCTCCAGCACCCAGGGCTGCATCAGGGTAGGTCCATGTGGCTTCTCAGGGATGTCTCGCAGGCAGTGAGCCTTGCCAGCCGAGGCAGAGAACTAGCTAAGGCAGCTGCACCCTAGTCTGACCATCAGAGAGCAAGAGACCCGACCACTTATTTCTCTGCCCTTCGATCAATCCCACGTGTTCATCGGTCAGGTTGGCACAATAAACCTTAACTGTCACAGCTGCTGAAAACTCCATGGGGCAGTTCTGCCCTGACACATACTGACGGGGTGTCAATCCCATCCCTGATAGGAATCCCAAAGTCAACCCACTCCCTGACAGCAACTGCCCCTGGGATCTCTCGGTCTCTTGCGTGCAGTAGCCCTCTCCCTCTCCCTCATCCCCACTTTTCTCTGTGTGTGAGACACATAACAGTGTATTCATGTGGGTGAAAGGTAGAATAGGGTCAATGGAAGGAAGGAAGCCAGCAAAACCAAAAAAAAAGAGAACAAAAATACGAGAAATCCCATACTGACCTTAAAACGGGCCTGACCAGTAAAGTGTCCCCTTCGTGACTGTCAGTGATATTTGTGGTGCGGGTGCTTTGCTACATTGAAAAGGGACTGTGCTGGAGGCCGTTGTTGCAAATGCCACTGGACAGAAACCCAAAACATGGGAAGGGCCGGGGGCTGATGAGGATGGAGAGAACGTGGCACCCACCCTCCCTCGCCCAGCCTGCCGGTGGGCCTTGAGAGGGTGCAGCCGCTCTGGGGAACCACTTGGCAGTTCATCAGCAAGTTAAAACACTGAGACCTGAACTCCGCCCCACCTCCCGTAGCTCACCTTCCAGCCAAATGGTGACAAGGCCCTCTCCCAAGGTGAACCGAAACCCCAGAGAGGTCGGCTCTCCGAGACCCACCACCCATGGATCAGAGGGGTAGCAGTCGCCCAGAGAGAAAGCCCAGAAGGCAGGCCCAGACCGAAAAGATGGACGGAAGTGGTCCACACAGGGAGGCGTGAGAAGCGGGCTGTGAGGGGTGCAACCCATTGTCACAAAATGCAACCCATTGTCACAAAAACGTTCTCAGGCTCCAAGGTCACCACTTTTTGAGTCGATGCCGACTCACAGCGACCCTGCAGGACAGGGTAAAACCGCCCAGTGGGTTTCCGAGACTAACTGCTTATGTCTGAGCATGAATTGTGTGTGTAAGCTTTGTGGTGTGGTGTGTAAGCTTTCACAAAGCCAAATCACAACGCGAAAGTTAAAAGGAAATTAAGAGTTAGGATCTCGACAATAACTTGGAAGCAGTGATGTTTCGAATATCTATCCTTTGATACAATGAGGAGCCCCGGTGGCATCTCGGGTGACCTGCCGGGCTCCTAATCGCAGTGTCAGCAGTTCAAAACCGTCAGCAGCTCCTCTGGAGACAGATGAGGCTGTGTCTTTGGGGAAAGCGTTACGGGCAGTTGTGGCTCTTGATCCCGAAGAGTTTCAGGTTTTCTCATCCAGTGAAAGGAATTTGGGTAGCAGTTGGGAAAATGCCCAGAGTGGGAACATAAGGGGCGAGGGACACCCCTGCCGACCTGGCCAGCCCAGGGGGGTGCCCTGGGGAAGGGTCTGAGGAGTGACCAGGAGGGCTGGCTGGTCCTGGGCTCAGGGCCTCCTCCTGCTGCGCCGTGAGAATTATGTTTCCCTGGAGCATGAGAAGCGTCTCTGTGTGTGGCTTTCAGCGCCTCGTTGTGCCCAGTGAAGGACGGGCCGGCCGAGGCAGCAGCTGGGCGCAGCCAATGCCAGGCAGCAACGTTGGCTCCATCAGCCAGCCTGGCCCATCTCTGCCCTCCCCTGGGGCCCGGGCCGGCCCGCCCAGAGGGGCGGGGTCAGCGGGCGGCGAGAGAGCTCATTGGAGGAAGAGAAAGGGGTGGGGCGTCGGGGAAGGACTGGAGCCACTCTCTGCGGCTTATTCACCACATCTTCCTGTCCCCTCCCCTCCCCCGCCCTCTTGTTTTCCAGACTGTCAGCATCAATAAGGCTATTAATATGCAGGAAGTGGCGGTGAAGGAAAAACACGCCAGAAATATCCTTTG